TCTTCATCCTATTTCCAGAAGGTCCAGGGATCTCATGAACTTTCTTTATCACAAAGTTTGAGATTGTGCATTCAGCTGTCACTGCTCCTTCGTCTTCCCTAATCCATTCAGTCTGACCTTCTCAAATGTTCCCCACTGCCCTTGCCCTGAACTCAGTCTTTCTCCCATCTCCTGCAGTGCTGTCCATGAGTTGATGTTGATTATGGGACCCACCTCTTGTTTCTCAATTCTACTCTGACTAAACTATTAACCAACCAAATTCTCTTCCTGTGCCCCATGTATTCTTAATGATTCCTGATCCTCAGGCATTGTTTACCTCCATCCACCCTCTGCTTCAAATCTGCCATCATTTCCTTTCGTCAAAAAAGCACACACCTTTGATACCGCCATCACTACAATGTCCTTGCAAACAAGGGCCCAATTTCCAACTCCCCATTCTTCTCTGTATCTAAGATCTTGCCATTCCCTCCCATATCTCTACCTCTCTTTCCCGCAAGTCAATGTTTGAATCCCTCCAATAAAATTCCCAGCCACAAAAATGAAGCCATCTTTATCAAAACCACTAATAACCTTTTTTGATTGTAATAAATCATCACTTCTCATTCTCCTTGACCTAGATGCAGCCTTTGACCACACCATCCTGCTTTGATACTTCACCTCTCTCATCCAGCCACGTGAATGTCCTTGCTTGCGTATATTCTCTGGCAAATCACATCCCGGGAATTACCTGCGATAGCTTCTCTTGTCATTCTCACATCTTGGTCCGTCCAAATTCTCATTTACTTGTTACCTTATGCAGCATTATCTGAAAATAGTATCATTTCCACACGTGCAACGATACACAACACCAAATTGCATAATCCTTCAACGGTTTCTAAATTATTAGGCTGCTTGTCCAACATTTACCGCTAGATGAGCAGTAATTTCCTCCAACTAAATATTGGGAAGACTGCACCCATTAACTTTGTTCCCTGCCACAATCTCCATTTCATGGCTATCAGCTATAGCCTTCACTGTGGCAACTGTCTAAGGCTGGATGAATCTGGTCTCAACCTTAGTGCCATATTTAACCTTGATATGACCTTCTGACCTCATATCCATGCTATCACTAAGATCGCATTTATCCATCTCTGTAATGTCACTAAAAGCTGCCCCTCCTCAGTTCCTCCACTCCTGGAACACACATCCATTTATTATCCCTAACCTTGATCAATCCATGCATTGCATGGTTGGTTTCCAATGTTCTACCCTCTGTAAACTTGGGGTCATCCAAAACCCTGTTTCCAATAATCTAACTTGTATGAAGTCCTATTCACCCAGTGCCCTTGCGCTTGCTAATCTACATTTTATTCGTGATCGATCAACACTTTGATGTTAAAAGCTCATCCTTGTTTCCGGATCCTTCCATGGCCTCACTTTTCTCTAACTCTATGACCTCCCTTAGCCCCCTATAACCCTCTGGGATATCTGCACTCATTCAATCCTGGCCTCTTGATTATCACAATTTTAAATTCATCCATCACTGCTTGCTCTGCCTTCAACTACCAAAGCTCTAATATGTAAAATTCCGTTGCACATCTCTGCCTCACCACCTCACTTTCCTCTTTCAGACACTCAAAGGCTACTTCTTTTGTCAAGCTTTTGAACTCCTGTCCAAATATATCCTCGTGTGGATCAGTGCCAAATTTTGTTTGGTAACACTCCTGTGAAACACTGCAGCACATTTTTCTAATTTAAACACCTTATGTAAATTGTTTTTGTGACTGTAATCATGATTTTATACTGTTTAATGATGTCACATGCTAATAACTGTGGTCCTCCAAGGGCATTTGTTTTTTCATGCTTCACAATGTCATTGTTCAGGAATGTTATGGTCAGTAATCTTGTATGGGTGTTGCTAATATCATTAATTTCACAACTTTTAAGAATTCTGTCGCACATAAGTAAACGTTTTGTACGTCTTTATTCGAGATAAACATGCTTAACTAAAATGTACAAGTCAGGAATGTGAATCAAACTTGGGTATCCGCGTTTCTACTACAACTGTACTGTGTAGGAGCATGTTATAATAAGTGACAACTTCTTTTGTTACTTTGGATGCTTGGGTCTATTGGATAGACTTGATAAAGAGTAATTCATTGCAATTGCCACATCTGCGCAGAACTGATAAACCACATTCATAACAATTCTTGGAGATTGTGGCCATCGGCATTTCAGCTGTTTGTCCACAAGGAACAAAACCCACTTCATCAAAACTGTGTACAACAAGATGTGATGTGAGAGCATTGATAATATAACTCCCTAGATTTACAAACCACTGGTTTGTTCTACGTGTTGTTGAAAGAATGCCCAATTCACATCCTTCTCAAGAACAACTCCCAATTTTTTCCAAGATTCTTATGATAGGTCATTGAACTGAAATATTAACTCCACTTCTGTCTCCACAGATGCAGCCAGCAATTTCAGCAGTTTATTTTAATTTCAGATTTCCAGGATCTGCAGTATTTTCCTTTTGCCTTTAAACAGTGCTGGTTACAATGTAAGACAACAAGGCGCAGAGCTGGATGAACACAGCAGACCAAGCAGCATCACAGGAGCAGAGAGGCTGACGTTTCGGGCCTAGACCCTTCATCAGAAAAGGGGGAGGGGAAGGGGGTTCTGAAATAAATAGGGAGAGAGTGGGAGGCAGATAGAAGATGGATAGAGGAGAGGATAGGTGGAGAGGAAACAAACAGGTCGAAGAGGCGGGGATGGAGCCAGTAAAGGTGAGTGTAGATGGGGAGTTAGGGAGGGGATAGGTCAGTCCAGGGAGGACGGACAGGTCAAGGGGGCGGGATGAGGTTAGTAGGTAGGAGATGGGGGTGCGGCTTGAGGTGGGAGGAGGGGATAGGTGGGAGGAAGAACTGGTTAGGGAGGCAGGGACGAGCTGGACTGGTTTTGGGATGCGGTAGGGGGAGGGGAGATTTTCTGCTCCTGTGATGCTGCTTGGCCTGTTGTGTTCATCCAGCCCTGCACCTTGTTGACTCGGATTCTCCAGCATCTGCAGTTCCTACTATCTCTGGTTACAATGTAAAATGTCCCAAGGCATTTCACGGCTGTATTATCAATGTGATTCTGAGCCATGTGTTTAAATGCTAGTAGAGCTGAAAAAGTCAGTTTTTGAGAACATCTTAAAAGGAAGAAAGAGGTAGAGAGTCAACTAGAGCATTTCAGCATTCTTTCAGCTGAAAGCAATAGTTACCAATCGTCAAATTCACGACACACAGTCTGCCTCCATTCTAGCATATGAAGCAAAAATATTATAAATCCCTGTTTTAATCTTTCTCCATCGTTTGTGCTGAATGTGTTAAAGACTCTCAGGACCAAAACAATACTACTGTTTCAATGCTGAAAATAGACCAAGATGATTGTTTAAAACCTCATGGTACCACTTGTACTCCCAGGTGAAGGGCTTTGCTAGAATCAGACCACTCAGGTGGACTAGTTTTCCTTGCAATCTGTGAAGGCACTCTGTACACAAACAGGCTGCCTGTGTCATGTACAGATTAACATAATAACTGAAATAGAAAGTCTAGGTGAGGCTGGAAATTGAGAATATAGATCTGAAAAGATCGTAGTGCCTGGGAAAAGGTTACTTGAAGATCGAAATGATGGGTCATTTTCAAAGTGTCCACCAGGTTTTAATCCTCTGCAATGCACTGCACAATGCAAGGAAATCAAGAGGTGGACTGAACACAAGCATTTGGGGGCCAACCTAATCCTGAACTTAGCACAACTTGTTTTTCCAAGACAAAATCTGTATTTCTCCATCAACAAGAAAATTTGATACATTGTGCATTCATTTGAATATTTCTGTTGATCTCTTCAGAAAATTTACGAAGTTATAGAGTTTTAGTCAATGAACAGTTCCATTGGTCCTTACATTTGTTATATTGTTCTAGTTTCAATTCAACACATTGATGTTTGTACAGTGATGTACAAACATCAATCTGGTATATCAAAGGACCAGTTTTCCAGCTCCAAAAATATGTTCCCCAAATAAGGCCACGATTACATGCTCTACTTGCATTAGTAATAAGCCTCCAATTTTCACCCTGTAAATGTTTGTTTTACTTGCTGGTAACTTTTAACAGGATGCAGGGAATAAGCAAGTGAAACAGGGTGTGTGGTGAAGATGTGTAGGAGTTTGAGATACACCCACTCTTTGAAGCAAATGTTAATTAATTTTATAGGTGTCAAAACATCTTGATTGTAGTTAAAACTATTTTTGTGTTGCTAATTTATCAAATAACCTGTCACGTTAATTTAATCTGAATTACTGGTATTATTTTTCTTTTACATTTCAAAATGACAAACACCCCTACTCACACTGGCACATAAGTAAACACCCGTTTTTGAAGGGTTTTCTTGAGCGTTCAGAAATCAACTTATGTGCAGATACCTAAAGTACTTATTTTACGAGCTAATCAATTTTTATTACCAGTATTATAAATGAAAATGTTATTAGAATACAATCAAACATTAAAGCACAAATTTCTAAAAACATTTTGCAGGTCAGATAGCATCTAAATAGAGAACAGAAGCATCTCCAGTTGAAATTTTATTAATCTGTTCTTCCCACAAGTACTGACTGAATTGTTAATGCTCCCAACATTTACTGTTTCTGATTGATATCTAATATCTATAGCTTTTTTAAAAAAGTTTATACATTGCTATGATCTGCCTGGACTGCTTGCAAAATGAAGCTTTTCACTGTACTTAGGTACACGTGACTACGATAAACCAAATCAAAATTGAGCACTCAATATTGCTTTTGCTTGTGCAACTGACTGAAGAATTTTGCTGAAGTATTTAAAAGAAAACTATACATTCAAAAAAGAATCTAAAAAAAATATCAAATTATGTAGCAGAAAAGTTAATGGGGCTCCAGTAACTGGCCCACTTAATCTCCCTTGAGTCAAGCTGCTTTTTTCTCATTTTATGCTTTTGTCCCCCTATAGATTGAAAAAGCTAATTGACCAAGAAAAGGCCTACCAAGTGAAAAAGGATCAAGAAAATGTCAAAAAAATTACAAAGTTAAAAGAAGAGCTTACCAAGCTGAAATCATTTGCATTGGTACTGGTGGATGAACAGCAACGGCTTTCAGAGCAGCTTAACCAACAGAATCAAAAAGTTCAAGTTCTATCAGTCACTGCACAGCAAGCTCAGGAGAAATTAACAGCCTCAGAGGAAAAGACAACAGAAGAAGAAAATAAAGTGTTTGCTCTTGAAATTGAGCTGCAAACCCAATCTGGTAGATTTTATCAAGAGCAGGAAACAATAATGGCCAAATTGACCAATGAGGAAAGTCAGAATCGACAGCTTCGCCTAAAACTTGCCACACTCAGCCGACAGATAGATGAACTGGAAGAGACTAATAAGTCATTGAAGAAAGCAGAAGAGGAACTGCAGGATTTAAGGGAAAAAATAAACAGAGGGGAATGTGGGAATTCCAGCTTGATGGCAGAAGTGGAAGAGCTGCGGAAGCGGGTGTTAGAAATGGAAGGAAAGGATGAGGAACTCTTAAAAATGGAGAAGCAGTGCAAGGATCTCAATAGAAAAATAGAAAAGGAAGAAAGCCACAGCAGGAACCTAAAAACTGAGGTAGAAAAATTAAAGAAGAGAATAATGGAATTGGAAAAATTAGAGGATGCCTTCAGTAAAAGTAAACAAGAATGTTATGTGCTTAAATGTAATCTAGAAAAAGAGAAGAATTTAACAAAGAAATTAGAAAATGAACTAGAAACCTTAAAAGTTAGAGTCAGGGAGCTTGAAGCAATTGAAAACAAGCTGGAGAAAACGGAATTAGCCATGAAGGAGGACCTAAGCAAGCTTAAAACATTAACTGTGATGTTGGTTGATGAAAGAAAAAACATGGCAGAGAAGATGAGACAAACAGAGGATAAATTTCAAAATGCAAATACCCAACTTCAAATAGAGGAAAATAAAGTTACAGTTGTGACAGAGAAACTAATCGAGGAAAGTAAAAAGGCATTAAAATCCAAAGCAGAATTGGAAGAGAAAACATACAGCTTGACCAAAGAAAGAGACGAGTTTAAAAAGAAGCTAAAAGTGGAGGAAGAGAGAGGAAATGATCTTCAGTCCAAGTCCAATCTCTTGAAGAAAAGACTCCAGTCCCTTGAAGCAATAGAAAAGGAGTACCTCAAAAACAAAGGAAAACAAGACTTTGAGAAATCTCCTAAACATATACAACAGGATGATAATAAAGTAAGAGAATTAACTTGTGAGGTTGAAAGACTTAAGCGCAAATTGAAAGATATGCAGGTTGTAGAAGATGATCTAATGAAGACAGAAGATGACTATGACTTACTGGAGCATAGGTATTACAATGAACAACAGGAGGTAAAATTATTGTCAGGGGAGCTTGAGGCCGTGAAGAAGGAATTAGCCAGATATAAGCTCGTGGAAAAAGCTGAATCAAGCAATGAACGAAATCTGTTTGACAAACTCAGTGAGGAACAGGCAAAATCTAGCCATCTAACAAGAGAAGTGGAAGCCCTCAAAGACAAGATTCATGAATATATGGCAACAGAAGACTTACTATGTCATTTTAAAGCAGAGCAGACATCACTGCAGAAAAAGCTGACTCAACAGGAAAACCGAAACAAAGAACTATCAAGAGAAACTGAAAATCTTACCAAAGAACTGGAGAGATATACACGGTTCAGCAAGAGTCTTAGGCCTGGCATGAATGGCAGGAGATTAAGCGAATTACAGCTGTGCTCGAAAGAGATCCAAACTGATGCATTGGATAGTGAACCACCTGACTACAAAAGCCTTATTCCTTTAGAAAAAGCAGTTGTAAATGGAAAGATATGTACAGAAAGTGAAGAAACCGATTACAATTCTCAAGGTGATCAATCCTTGCAAGTGAACTACAATTCATTAACAGTAAATAGTGTCAATAATAAAAAGTCATGGACACCGTGGATGAAGAGCAAGGAAACTTGTGCACAAAATGGCAAAGCTGTAACCAAACAGAATGGAAATCTGGTGCAGCCTGGTGAAATGGTGCTTACTCAGAAACCAGGCCAGCCTCTTCATATAAAAGTAACACCAGACCATGGGCACAGCACAGCTACTCTTGAAATCACTAGCCCCACTTTAGAAAATTCATTCTCTTATACGAGTACAGCAGTCATCCCCAACTGTGGTGTTCCAAAGCAAAGAATAACCATTCTTCAAAATGCCTCAATCACACCTGTAAAGTCAAAGCCATCAGATGCATATTCCACGCCAGAACGTGCCCTGACACCCCTTTCCAGGACTACAAGGTTGAAATCGAGAACTTCAGATTCATGTGGCTCAATGACTTCAGAAAGGACAATGTCACCAGTACAAATTGTTGCAGTAACTGCAAGCTCGCCAGAACAAGCTCTGTCCCCTGAACCAATGGAAGTTGCTACAGCTCATACGATCTTCAGAGTATCGCCTGAAAGAATACAAGGGCGTCAGATACAAAAGTCAAATACAAGTGCTAATGTAATTACAACTGAAGACAATAAAATCCATATTCACTTAGGTAGTCCCCACATTCAAACAGCTACACCTGTCTCAAGACCAATGAGCCCATGCAGTTCAATCCAGGAGATCAGGACTCCAGCTATAACTAATGGGACACCAAATAAGTCAACCAGTAAAATCACCAGCAGTATTACTATTACACCAACAACCACTTCTGCCCCACGTCATGCACAAATTACAGTAAGTAATGTCTATAATTAATCTCCCTTCCCCACCCCAAGTCCCAGTGAAAAATAACAGTGCTCTTATTTTCCATGTTAGAAGATCCACTTACATTTACCTGCATCTTCTGTTTTAATTTGAGACTGGTTTGTGCATGTCATTTATAAACCCTGCACCTAATCAACCTCCTTCTGGATTTGTGTGTTTAGTAAGACTGTGTGTTTAGTAAGACTGTGGGTACATACTATAACCTGTAACTCCTCAACATAAGAGACTTGTATTAAACGGTCAATCACCATTTAATCTGCACTGTATAAAAATGGAACATTGTATTTGCTTCGAACATTAAAACAAAAAAATTTCAGACACAAATTGTTATAGAGAAAAACAACTCATGAGTAACAGTAAACACTAGAATGAGTTTGTTGAGTTTCCTTTTTTTCCTCTTTTGCATGTTTACAAATATATTTCATTACTGGAAGAGGTACTTTTGAGATATGCTGTTCTGAAATTGTCTTAAATCATCTATTTGTATTTTGGAAATGGGAGCTGCTACAGATTGTTTCACTCCTGAATCCAAGTTCAGTTGCAGCTTTTGGAATAAACATTTCATCTGCTGACTGGGAATCATATCCAAATCTCAGACCTTGAGAATATATTGTGGAGTAAAGCACATTGACAAGAATATTCAACACATTCACCCAAAATTTCTTCCTGCTTTTAGAAGAAAGCATTAACCAATTACTTTTAAATGGATCAATGCTCTATTAAAATACCAGAAGAGCTCAAAAACAAATGTGGTAAGCATTCACGTAATCATCGCAATGTAAATTCAATGTTATAGTGATTAACAACACAAAAATGTTCATAATGCAGGACAAACAATATCAGATAAACAAAAGGACAACTAGTGTGGAAATGAAAAAGAAATTAAGTGGTTTAGAATGTGTGGGCTGTTGAGAGTGAGATTAAAACACATCATGGGACAGAATAAAGGGAGTGTTTAATACTTAATGTGGGAGAGCTTCATGCTTTCGTGATTTGCACAAAGACCTGAGAAAGTGATCCAGTTTTCAATATTAACATCCCACACATGTGGAAAACTTTACAAGCGAGATAGCCATTTAAAATTCTGAGACTGAACAGAACTGAATTTGATGATTAGAAAATCCATTAAATAAAGAAATGGACGAAATGTACATGCTGGAAAATGAAGCTCAATAAACACTGAATCTCACAAAGTACGTTGTATTAGATGAGCAAACTTATTGGTCTAGAATTTGCTGTAATAATAAAAGGTAAGAATGGCAGTGCTCAGTGTTGTTACTGGGGAAATTGAACAGCAAGTTCTGGCATTCCAGCATTCACAGCTAAAAGCAGAAATCTGGAATCTGTCAGTCAGGGATACAGTGTCCCCTTATGGTGTCTCCTGTTGCAGCCTTCAACAACAGAATCATCACCTCTTAATCTGATTCCTTCCAAAGAAAATTAATTGCTGCAGTCTTTAAAAACATTATTAAATCTTATTTGTTTTGTTTCACTTCTCCTGTAGTCTCATTTGTTTAACCCTAACAACTTTGCTTCCTGTACAATTATTTAAATGTAGCTTACACTGGCTGTTTTTACATTATGCTTTGAGTCAGGATTCTTCAATCTGATTACTAGTCTCCCTGCAGTGTGTCCTAATCACATACATTCACAGAAATGTTTGCTAGAAATGTTGTTTCTCACTGCATGATTCCCTAAAGCCTGTCTTCCATTTACAAGGCACAAATCAGGAGTTTGATGGAATACTCCCCACCAGCCTCGATAATTGCAACACTCAAGATACTCAACTCCCAGGAGTCAATTGTCACCACATCCACATTCAGTTCTAAAACTCAGAGCAGTATGTAACATTTACAAGATTCACTGTAGAAATCCACCAAGACTCTTTATATAGTATCTTCCAAACCCACAGCCATGACAATCTCGAAGGATAAGGGCAGCAGATACATGGGAAAAGCACCATCTGCAAGTTCCCTTCCAAGCCACTCACCATCCAGACTTGGAAATATATCATTGTTCCTTCACAGTCAGCAATCAAAATCATGGACCTCTCTCCCTAACAGTACTGTGAGCGTATCCACACCAAATGGACTGCAGCAGCTCAAGAAGGCAGCTCACCACCATCTTTTCAAGGCCAACTAGATATCAGCAATAAATACTGGCCTAGCCAGTGACATCCAGATTCCACAAATGAATAAAAATCCCCTATGGAAGCCAAAATTCAAAATGACTTTTTAAAAGAGTAAGTCTGTCCTCTGGAGCCCATTAAAGAGAGAGGCAGCTATTTTCCATGATGAATGAGGGGCGTACTGTTTTGCCACTGGCTGCAAATTCTCAGCAAATTTCTTTTATTATTAGAAAAAGAATGTGGAAACTAAAGTGGATAGTTCCTGCAAATAGGCGTAATGATCACAATGATACAAAAAGGAAGGGTCACCAGACCCGAATTGTTAATTTTGATTTCTTATCAAAGATGCTGCCAGACCTGCTGAGCTTTTCCAGCAATTCTATTTTTGAACCTAAGTAGCTAGCAATGCTCAAAGCTCTCCTGCATGGCTTAAAGTTAGTCTGCAACTCTTAAAGGGAGAGATATTATCTTTTGAGAACTTTCTGGGTTTCAAAGTTGAAGGGCTATGATTTGGTTTACAATGAGGAATGACAAAACAGAAGGAGAGCAGATTCCAAGGTCTTTCAACGTTGCATTGGAGATCAAGGTCAAAGATGTGAACATGAAAGAGTTGTCCAATATTTGTAGTTGGTGGGGAGGGGAGAGGACAGCCCTTGACACCCAGTTATAAGGAAGTGTCATCAGCAGGTAGTCATGGACGTCAAAGCAAAGAGTCAAGACTCAAGAATCTGAATGCAATGCCACAAGAAGTTGAATGATCGCACACAATTGATAAAGGTTAGTGACTGCAACATTAAATGCCATTCCTACCAATTGTACTCATAGCTTCAGTCATTTATCAAAACATCCCAATTCCACCATTCACCTATCAACAATCTCCAATCAGTCCTCATATACAAACTTTAATTGTTTTTCACTTCAAACTGACACGTTTACCATGCTACAAGCTCCAATCCCACCCTCATAGTTTTAGCCAAGAAAACCAAATGAGCCAAACAGATTGCACAACACTCACTGACATACTCCCTTCTCACTCACAAAGTAGCACAAACTGGAGGTAAAGAAAGCTAACCGGAGGATGACAGGCTCACCTCCATATCCTAAATTCCATGGAGAAGACCACACTGGTCATTGATGGAATGCTATTCTTATGATAGTGGGTCATTTAAGACTTTGGGTGGTCATCTCATCACATCTTCAAATTGTTCAAGCCTGTGGTCAGGATTATGAGCCATGGCCATCTACCGAACCAGGAGATTTTGGTGGTGACGGTTGAAGAGCTAGAACCTTGAGTAACAACAGTTGCTCACAGATGGATTGTCCTTCAGGTTGAGAGTACTGTACTAAACATCACTCTCTCCTTGATGTTTCACCATTACCTGAGAGCAGAAAAAAACATAAGCAATGTGTTGTGGAGGTTTGCTATCCCTTAAGCATATGAGGAAGGCAACAAGAAACCACCTTAGGTATTCTTTTCTCTCGTTATACTGAAATTGAAAATGGGAAGCTCCAATGAGCAAATGAAGAGGAAAGCTCAAGACCATGAGAAATGAGCAGAGGATCTGGGGCCGATCACTTCTACACATTACCAAAGTCACAGCCAGCAACAGGGTTGAAGCTATTGAAGATAATGCTATCCTCATATTTGTTCCTCCGTCTCAAATTGCACACTCGCTTCTAATTTGCAAATGGTAGATGATATAACATGTAATTCTTAGTTCTTCTTCTGCCATCCCCAAACCCCACCCCCACCAACTTCAAAACTCCACAACACATCTCTTGTGTTTTTTTCTGCTCTCAGGTAATGGTGAAACATCAAGGAGAGAGTGATATTTAATGCAGTACTCTTGCTTCATTTCACACTCACAGTCACCAGCTCAAATACAGCCACAGTATTTATCGTAGAGATGAAAATTCAGATTTGTACAATGACAAAGCACAAGGCACCCTGTGAAAGGTTAAGGACAGCATGTCAGTCAGTTGCCAGATGGAAAGGTTCAGCATGGATTCTGCTGGAGAGGATTCCAATGAAGCCTTCACTGAGGCAGCTGTAAAAGAATGCTGACGGATTTCACACCAAGACACTTGGTGCATTTGCAAACCAATCTGAAAGTCTGCAATCAATGTCAAGAAGCAGGGAAGATTCTACCACCAATTTGGCACAACAAATATTGAAGCAATGGAAGTGGTCCCCATCTTCATTCATACACATTTGGTCAACCCTGAGTGGAATCTGATGTATGGTTTTATAGAATACATTTGCAAAACATACACAAGAAGTTCAGATCGCTGTGGATTACAATGTGCAAAGGGACTTGCAAGGGTTTATATCAATCCAGTAGTTTGCCTACCAATATATTACTCAGATTACTGAGGTGCCTCCCAGGGAGAGAGCTCCATGGGTCATGAACCTGCAGTCCTCTCTCAGGGAGACAGTGTTCTTACTCTCAAACCCAGCCATCATCTTGTTGCTGTCTGTCAACCAGCATGCCCAAGCGCTGCGACCCACACCAAGTTGGCACAGCTTGCTAAGGGATGGCAAGGCAGATAGTCTGAGGTCATTCTGCAAGATGATCTGCCGTTAATAGTCTTCTACCAGCCCTGCTCACCCTGTATTGGGGCACCTAGAGCAGAGAATTGTGCATGAAAAATGAGCACAAAGTAAATTTGCAAGGGTGATTAGTTGAATTTTGTCATCAGTGTGGCATGATATCATTCATCCATTTGATTTGGAACATTTATTTTGGTAATGACTTTTATTTTTGCATTGTAATCAAGTAGATCCTGTCATGCTCAGTAACAGAGGAAAGGTCTTGTTGGTGAATGGGAAACTGTGGTTGTGCCTTCACAGGCGGTCACAACGGAAAGGATTACCAAGATTTCCTCTTCCCTTCTTCAAAATCTCCCGCCTCGTGATTTTCAGCTGCTTGGTGCATAGTTGCTGATAAGGGGTGTTCTCATGCTGGCCCAGTGAGCAACACACAGCTGTCCACCACAAGACATAACATATCTGCAGGCTTCCTCCAGTGTGAACGCTGTAATGGAAGCAATTTTTAAGCAACAGCCTGCACTATCACATTTCACATGGTCATGTGGTATAGTCGCAGTTGCTGATTCTGTAAAGTGGACCACATCGGTGTGCCCTTCCTGCAAGTTAGACATATTCTGGAACTTCAAATGGCAGCATCAGCAGCATCAATCATCCGTACAAATATAATGTCCGATGCAATTTCTCCCACATGTGAATGTGCATTGTGGAGGCCAGTTTGGAACTCTAAGGACACTCATAAAGGCCATGACATAGGCATTAATAAGGCCAATTTCTCACCCATTGAATTCAACATGCAGTTTTCTATTAGCACAAGTTGCAGAAATCAGATGTAGAACCAAAACAGTTTACTGAAATATAAATATAATGCAAAGCAAAACTGCTTACAGAGGAACAAAACCAATGCACTTGAGCAAGAATTATATAGCATCACAATAAAGAACACAAGAACTAGGTAGAGGTGAAAGCAATTCAACCCCTGACCCTACTCTGCAATTTGATACAATCATAGCTGATATCATTTCAGCCTCAACTCTACTTTCCTGCCTTCTCTCCATAACCTTTCAAGCCATTAATAATTTTAAAAATCTCTCTCTTCTTTAAATTTATTCAATTTCCCACCAGCCACTGCACTCTAGGGTAGTGAATTCCACAGCTTCACAACCCTTTGATAAAAGTAATTTCTCCTTATCCCTGTTTTCAATCTGCTACCCCTTCTCCTAAAACTATGGCCTCTCATTCTAGATTCCCCTACAAGGAAACAACACCCTTTCTACATCCACTTTGTCAATCCCCTTTAGCATCTTACATACCTCAATTAGATCTCCTTTCATTTTTCCAAACTGCAGACAGGATAGGCTAAAACTGCTCAATCTCTCTTTATAAGACAAACACCTTATCTCTGGAATCAAATTCGTGAGCATACTCTGAACTACCTCCAATACAACTACATCCCTCCTCAAGTAAGGGGATCAAAATTGTCTGCAACACTCAAGGTACAGTCTCAGTAATGCCTAGTACAAATGCAAATGCAGCAACACTCCCCATTATAGAAACGTAATCTCAAATGGTTTAAACATATGCTAGTATCCCAGCAATCACAGGCAAAAATAATTTTGCAACACATAAAAATCTTTACTTCCCTTTAGAAGCAAACAGGTGCCAATAAGTGTGTGACAGCAACAAATTATCAAGCAAAAACCCTGAAGAACTGTAGATGCTGAATATCTGAAACAAAAACAGAAATTGCTGGAAAATCTCAACAGATCTGGCAGGATCTGTGGGGAGAAATTAGAGTTAATATGTGGACCCAAAA